AAAAAAAAAAAAAAAAAAAAAAAAAAATTGGGCAAAGAGATCTGAAAAAAAAGAAAAAGATATTTAAAAAGCAAAAGAAAAAAAACGAAAGATCCACTCACTGGCAACGCCCACCCGCCCACGATCCACATCACGCCCGACCACTCGTGCACCGGAATGCGCATGCGCATGCCTTCCCTGCCTGCATCCATTATTCGTTATTACACGTATACGTAATTAATTCTCAATAATTATCTTGTACGTTTAACTTGTACGTCTGCCTTTACGTTGTTTTGTTTTTCTAGCTCCTTCTTTCCTTTTTGTTCGTGTTAACGTTGCGTGTTTTTTACGTCGTTGTTGCACGTTTATCGCTGTGTACGGCGATCGTTTAACATACCGTCGAAGGAAACATTGCATCAGTCTTGAAAATGTTTCAAAGTTCGATGGAGAACGCTTCTTGTTTCTCGATGAAAATTAAAATTAGGAGGAACTTTCTTTAAAGTAAACGAGCGCGTCTTGTTTCTGTAAACGGGATCGATCCGGATGAATTTTTTCGAATTCCTTCGACGGGGTTGATCGCGTCGCCGCTCTCGACAATCACCATTTCGAATTTTCTAACGCTCGTTCTGTCCTACTCGTAGACCTAGAAAAAGCCGAGTACCAGGTCTAAATCTTCTGCGGGAGATTCTGAACCCGGATACGCCGGACTCGTGCCGCGGCCGACCACTGGGTAAGATCTCACGCGCGGCCGATGGCCGATTCGTGGTGGCGGACTCGGTCCTCAGCTCGGCGAACAACAGCATCCTGGACGCTTCGAGCAGCGACGATGGTGGATTCCTGCCGAAGCAGCGGCTCAAGTCTTCCTGGCGGCGGCCGCTCGTCGGTACCAGCCAACTCAGCCTCAGGTCCGACGGTAGCGGTGTCTCGATCGGAGGTCTACCGTCCATTCATCATCATCACGGGACGGTGAACTCGTTGGCCAGGATAGCGCCGACAATCTGCACGATCTCGTCGCCCAGGTTCTTGGCCAGTTCACCGAGCGGGCCGCAGGTACCCTGGACGCCTTTGTACTTCAGCGATCTCAGCTCGGTCAGGCAACCATCCTCTGGAGAACGTTCTTTTCCGACGCCGCCCGATTACCTTCAGCTTCGTAGCGTGCACCAGCGATACAGCCAGGAGCTTCCCTCGTTGAAAGCGATCCATGCCGAGTCCAGGAGGTTCGTGCCGGTTCAACCGTTGGCCACTTCCTCGCCGCCTCAGTCGGCCGGTAGGTCGAGGGCGAGGTTACCTCCTAGACACGCAAGGCACGCGAGGTCCGCTCCGGAGCTGGCCGCGTCTCCAGATCTGGAGACATCGCCGGAGAGTAGGTCTAGCAGCTCGGGTTTCGCCAGCAAGAATACCTCGCAGCAGAATCAAAGTTCAAGGAGCGGTAGTACTGTGGCCGAGTGGAGGCCACCGCCTTACAGGCCGCCCCCGCCGCCTCTGGTCGGCCGGTGGTTGGAGCTTCAGGATCAAGCAAAAGTCGAGCACACGCATATCCAGAACGCCGTGGACGCCGGCAGCGTCGACGGGCACTACGAGTTCGATCCTGTCTCGTGTACACCGACCCCTACGTCCGCCTCTACTCCGACCAGAGAGGAGAGGCCGCCGGTGCACCAGATTCACACCATTCACGTACCACACATTCACCAGGTGCACACGATTCATCATCAGGCGCCGAGGTACAGCAGGGACAACATCGAGGCCAGAGTACAAGCGATGAAGGCCGAGTTCCATCAGTTTCGACAGCGGCAAGCGAGGAGAAGACAGAGCGCGCATCTCGAGAGCGCCTGTTGAGACGGCACTGTTCACTAGTAACTAAGCTACATCATTGGATTTCCACACAGTTCGATCATTGGATATCTGCTCCGATTCGTTGCTTCTTCGCCTCTCTTCCTTTCCTCTTCCATTATTGTGGTCCTCTCTCTCTCTCTCTCTCTCTCGGAAACAAAAAGGACAACGAGGCGTCACGAGAGACGGAGCGCTTTGCGAGCGGACCAAAATCGCCAGCTGAGATACGTAGAGAGGATCGGAAGAGAAAACGACCGAGCGAAATCTGACGAGGTCTGGCGAGGAGAGCGGAGAAGCGGACGAAATCCAGGCAAATCTCGGCTGTGACGAAAGCTATGCAAACGCGATTCCAAGCGGACGTCGCCGTGATTATCATCGGAGACCAACTATTAAAGCACAACGAGGATCATCATACGCGATTCCAGTGTAGGCAACTTCAAGTCAATTCTATCAGCTGGGTAACCATCTCTACAAAAAAAAAAAAAGAAAAAAAAAGAAGAAAAAGGCTGTTACAAATGTCAGCTCAGGATACATAAATTTCGCCAACGCGAAAACAACTAACGTAGTAGAACTATGCGTTAAGAGATTCACACATCGTCGGAGTCCGATCGTTGCCGATTCGAGGAGAAATGCGACAAGTTCTTCCCCTAACCCACTCCCCTAACCCCTGCCCGTCCGAAGATGAAGTGATATCACGGAAGGAGCATCGACTGTCCCAGAGGATCCATCACGACGGAAGACGAGAGACGACGATTCGAGTTCAACGATTCGATTATTGGCCATATCCCGCGTGTATCAACAGCGCCTACGTCCAATTCGCAGGACCGCAATATTTAGCGTTACTAATATTACCGAGTAAAGAGAAAGTCAGGGAATGCGAAAAGAAAAGGAGTTTCTCAGCGAACGGGAACGCGAGAAAAAGTGCGATGGACGTGTTCGGTCCAAGAACAAATACTCGCTGGAGAACTGTCTCTCCTTTCGAAGCGGCAACTAAATATTCCCGACCGACGGATTAGGGGGAAACGATCGGCACGGAACATACACACACACACAAAAGCAGATTTTACCGTGGCAGAAGTGCTGATGAAACAAGAAAGAGAGACGGCAATATGCTCCAAAGAAACTGTACCGTGCTCCGTATACCTTTTAAAAAAAAAAAAAAAAAAAAAAAAAAAACGACGTAAGAGTAACTTTAATCATACACTGTAAGTAATAATTAAAGAAAAACAGAAAAATAAGAAAATGAAGAAAAAAAAAATGAAAGCGAACACGATGCAACTTAAAAGAAGAAAAAAAAAGAAAAAAAAATGATAAGAGAACACGCAAGTAAGATAATCGAAGAATTACCACACACGTATACATACATACACACACCGAGGAACTAATAAATAAATAAATAAATAAATAAATAAATTAAAGAGTTAATTATATCGACGAGCAATGGACTCGAAACGTGATATTAGGCCGAAGCTTGCCTGGAGATTGCTTAAGGACTCACTCGTACTGCACTGCCTGTTTAGGGTTTCGCTAGCGACCCAACATATTATCGGCACAATAATTTTTCTTAAGCAACGTAAACGATAATAAGTAACGTTCTTTGAAATCTACGCGCGGCCTGACCGGCCCACGAGGCTTGCGTTACACGCGCGTGCACGCCTTCCGAGACATCGAGAGACCCGCTCGCCGCCTTTTTCTCCCTCGCCCTTCCTCGTTGCGAGCTCCTTTTTTGCCCCTTTCGATCGAACCTTTCGACGCGAACTTTTGCCAAGCGAAGGCTGTTCCACCACGAACTGCCAACGAACGACGACCGAACGGGACCGGCGATTATTCCCCTCTCTGTCCGTTCGTTCCAACGGGAAAGCGTTCGCGGCAAGAGCACCTGTGACTGACAAACCGACACATGTAATGTACATACGAAAGGAGATCGCAAATCGTGCACACGCGTGGAAGCGTCGCCGTTCGATGCCGTGATCCGTGTATTAGAGACAAAAGAATCATACATGCGTACACACTCGCGTATCGATACTGCGCGACATACAGACAACACACACACACACACAAGCATACAGACATACGTACACAAGGAAAGAGCGAATGTCGAATGAACGAAAGCGTTGTACGAATGATTACAGATACGCGACACACGTGCATACACACGAGAAACGTTCTTCGAGACCCACCTAACTCTCACCAAACGCATTGTATTAAATCATCTCGAGTCGGGGACGAAGCTCGTGGACGGCCCACAGAGTGTTCGAGGATGCAAATACGGGCTAACTTCGATCGAGTAGTAACGCGACCTAAACGAACGAGGGAGACGTAACGTTATCACACCGCGATAAAACATTACGCGATAAAGCGTAACGTGTTACTTTGATTTAACCGGAAGCCGCTTCAAACTTCTCTTTTCCTCTTTTTCGTTGCCTCTTTCTTCTTCTTTGTTTTTTCCTTACCTTTTTCTTTTTTTCTTTTCGTCGTTGACTTTTCTCTATTATCTTGCGTTGAACGCGCGCGCGTACACACACACACACACACACACACACACACAGAGCGAAGCAGCAGCTGCG